AGAGAGTGAGAGTGAGAGAGAGAGAGTGAGAGTGAGAGTGAGAGAGTGAGAGAGAGAGAGAGACCTTTCAACATCTCTTTAATTACAATCCATTAACACAAAAAACATACACCATCAAACACACTCCATTACTTCATAAATACATATCCTTATAAATAAAATTATTTAAAACAAATAAAAACAATTTCTTTCATAACAATATATCACAACCTCCCTCTTCAGTGGGTTGACACAAAATATTTCCAACACCCCATAAAAAAAAGAAGGATTTTGTATCATTCACCAATTCATAATAACGATATTCCATAACCAGCCTACTTTTTACCAGAGCTCTGAACATGTTCAAAGGATCGGCATCACTGTTAAGCAGCATTTTTCTCTTTCTTGTCAGCCAAATTGCCATTTTTGCCTTACCAAATAAAAAATTAATCAAAACTATTTTACTCTTGTTTGAGGCACTATATTTTGGTCCAAAAATAAAGAAACTATTTGTAAAAATAAAACCAAAATTATTGCTCAAGTCTCTTAACACACCAAGAATTCCTAATAACCTTGAACATCCAATAAATATATGAAATACTGTTTCTGAAAGACCACAAAACAAACACTCTTCTCCTTGCAAAGCATTTAGATGAGCTTTATAACGGTTTGTTGCCAAAATCCAATGAGAAATCCGCCATTGTAAATCCCCACTTCGTTTTTCAATTGGTTTCTTATACAATGACCTCCAACATCCTTTTGGAGTAGTACCTAATTCAACAAAATTAGTCCATTTAGTCTCTGGAAGATCTTTCAATGCTCTTAAATTTAGATATTTGACACAAACAAGATAAAGTGACTTCTTAGATATAGTAATAAAGAGGCCAAGTTCAGGTGTTGTAAGAGAAAGTAATCTTCCATCAACCTCCTGCCAATCTCCTACATTTACACCCACACTGATGCTAGGGAATACATTCTTAACCATCTCTTCTTGCAGTGGTATTACAGGAAAAGACTCCTGAATCTCAGATAATAATTTTTCAACAGTCCGAACAGAATGGATACCAATCTTCATGGCCAGATTTTCTGCAGAAATCCATTGATCCCTTGACCTAAGATGACAGATTTTGCATATTCCTTCTCTAACCAGGCTTGTGCAGACACCCTTAGATTTTAAAATCACACTAGATAAAAGAGGATTACAAATTAAAGGTTCTTCAAGAACCCACTCATGGGTTATCTCAGACTGCTGTCTTTTAACAGTAAATATTTGCCATACATTTAATACTGATGCGTAAAAAGAAGGGAGTCCATTAAAATCCACTTCCTTCAAATTCATTAAAAAGAGGTGTCTATCCAGGTTCATCCGCCCCACTCTATTTAATAAAACACAAGCTATTTCTGTCCAATTCTGAGACTGGTGATAGAGAAGTCTTTGTGCAGTCTGCAGTCTAAATGCAGCTACTTTGGACTTAATGTCCATAAGACCTTGGCCTCCTTCACTTAACTGCAGATACAATACTGACTCTCTTAGCCAATGTTGTCCATTCCAAAAAAAATTAACAAACACTTTTTGAATTTCCCTAAAGAATTCCTCTGGTGGGTTCAACACAATTAGTTTATGCCATAGGACAGAGGCGGCAAGATTATTTATAACCAACACTCTTCCTCTATAAGATAGTTGAGGTAAAATCCAGTTCCATTTTGATAATCTATTGCAAATTTTATCTTTTACACCTTCCCAGTTTTTCCTTTGATACACTTCTGAACCTAAAAAGATGCCCAAAAACTTAAAACCATCTTTTCCCCACTGTACATTTCCAGGAATAACAGGTAAAGGCATTGCTCTCTTATCATTACACCAAAATGCTTCTGTTTTACTCCAGTTCAATTTTGCAGACGATGCTTTCTCATATAAAGAGATACTGTAATTAACAATATCAATATCTCTTTGATCTTTCACAATTACAGTAATATCATCTGCATATGCTGTTAACTTAAACGCATTGCAGTTCCCATCAACCTTTAAACCAGACAGATCTTTTCTTAATAGAGACAGGAGTGGCTCCACTGCTAAAGCATATAACTGTCCAGACAGTGGGCATCCTTGTCTTATACCTTTAAGTAATCTTATTGGTTTACTTAACCCATCACCTATTTTTAAAATACAAGAGGCATTCATGTATAAAAGTTTGATCCAAGAAATAAAAACATCTCCAAACCCAAAAGCACTCATTGTTTCAAACAGAAACCCATGGTCGACTCTGTCAGAAGCTTTTTCCTGATCCAAGAGCAAAAAGCCAACATTCACTTCATATAGTTTGGAGTAATCTAAAATGTCTCTGATCATGAAAATGTTATCATAAATTGTTCTTTCTGGAATGCAGTAGGATTGATCTTGACATATTAAATCTCCCAGTACAGTTTTCAGCCTGTTTGCCAAAACTTTGGCTATTAGCTTATAATCAGCTGTTAAAAGTGACACAGGCCTCCAGTTTTTAAGAACACTCAAGTCACCCTTCTTTGGTAATAGTGTTAATACTGCCCTTTGGCAGCTTGTGGGAAGGCGCTTTTCTTTAAAACATTCTTGGATCACATCATGAAAGTCGTTTCCAATGTAATTCCACACAGCTTTATAAAAGTCAGCTGATAATCCATCAATTCCAGGTGCTCTGCCCGGCTTCATCTGTTTAACGGCATCAGTTAACTCCTCAAACAAAACAGAGCTGTCCAGATTCTTACTCTGCATTTTAGTAAGAGTAGGCAGTTGTTGCAATAGCTGTGAAACACATTCAGTATCAGTTTCTTCTTCGCTATACAAGTCTGAATAAAAGTCCACTGCAATCTTTCTCATTTGTCTTGAATCAGAAGTCTTTAGTCCATCAGGTGTTGTCAAACAATACATTTCATTTTGTTGTCTTGACACTTTTTCTAAATTAAAAAAATAAGATGTGGGAGCATCCATCTCATGTACAGACATAAATCGGGATCTTATCAGGGCACCTTTAGCCTGCACTTGCAACAAAGATTCCAGATCTTGTTTCTTTTCACATAAAATGCCAGCTGAAGATGAATTAGAATACGGAATCATACCAGATGTAATGTGAAAGATCTCATGTTCTATTTCAGAAATTTTGTGTTTAATTTTTTTTGTTGAAAAACATGTATACTGCTGACAAAAAATGTTGATTTGTGTCTTTCCTATTTCCCACCACTGTATCAAATTATCAAATTAATTTTTCTTAGAACCCCATTCATTCCAAAACAATTCAAATTTCTCATGAAAATCTTTCTCTTTCAACAATGCAACATTAAATTTCCAATAAAAGCTTTTGAATTTAGATTGTCTCAAACCAATATTGACTGTAATAAAATCGTGATCTGATAGACAACATGGAAAAATATTACACCCCATTATTCTATTATTTTCAGCACGCTGTACATAAAACCTGTCAAGTCTTGCTACACTTATCATTCCCTGTGAAACTTTTGTCCATGTATATTGTTTCATCTCTTTATTCCTATCTCTCCATACATCTACCAAATCATTCTGAAATGTAATACTTTTTAAGAAAGAAGCCGATACAGGATGTGGTTCCTCATTATTTCTATCTAAACGAAAATTAGGGGTACAATTCCAATCCCCACCAACAATTAAAAACCCATCCAAAGTATAACTTTTTAAAAATTCTCCTAACTTTCTAAACATGAAGATTCTATCTGATCCTTTATTTGGAGCATAGATATTTATGAAAACAAATAACTGATTATCAATTTTAACTTTCACCATTAAAATACATCCTTTCTCTATTTCCATTTCTGATAAAATATTGACATTAAGGTGAGTTGAAAATAAGATCGCTACACCTGCACTGACATTTGTGCCATGGCTTAAACACATTTTTCCTTCCCACCACAAGTTTAACTCTGATTCATTTTTTATGTCGCTATGAGTTTCTTGTAAAAATGTTACTTCAGTATCTTTAAGCCTAAGAAATTCAGATAGTAAAGCTCTTTTCCCCCCATCCCTCAACCCATTCACATTTAAATATCCTAATCTAAGAATCTGCATTGCAGGAGAGAGAGAAAGGAAACAAAAAAAATGACAGAAAAGCAGAACAAAAATAAAGATAGATCCCACACCCATATGCTTTTATTTTTTCCATTTTGACAATTTTACATGATCCTTTTGTGCTCTACGTACAATTGTTAGAAACTTTCTCAGCCGAAATCTTTTTTGTTTTGAAATGACGTCATAGCCAACAGTCTTCTGAGCGATCACCACGGATTTAACAAACTTATTAACATCGGGGAAGAAATTTACAACATCAACCTTTTTTCCTTTAGTTAAAACCAGAAACTCGTTTAATTCCTCGACAGAATAAACGTCATCCAAAGACTGACTGCAATCAATCTCTGAAAACTCCGAACAATTATCACAATCGTCCATCAGTTCTTCTTCGCTATTTTCATTCTCCACAGACGCATTAGACTGTGACCCGCTTACACTCGGAACCACATCACTATAAACACGTTCATCATCCTTAACAGCAACAACATCCTCCTTCAAAACATTTCGTTTCCAATGTAATTCCACACAGCTTTATAAAAGTCAGCTGATAATCCATCAATTCCAGGTGCTCTGCCCGGCTTCATCTGTTTAACGGCATCAGTTAACTCCTCAAACAAAACAGAGCCGTCCAGATTCTTACTCTGCATTTTAGTAAGAGTTGGCAGTTGTTGCAATAGCTGTGAAACGCATTCAGTATCAGTTTCTTCTTTGCTATACAAG